AGAAGGGGGGGGGGGGGGGGGGGGGGAGGTGTATTTCCGGCACTTACTGTCAAGTTGACAAAGCGAGCACCGACTTGTTCTCGCTATAAGGTATGTCTGTGTGTGTTTACATGCGAGATTACCGCCCACCCCCCAGGTAGTTTCTCTGTTGCCACTGGACCGAATGATGAGGTGACATTGCCTTTGGTCTGTCATCGCCAGGATCACAATCGGTCCGATTACGGAATTTGATTTGTTATGTAAGTCCGTGGTCCGAGTAAACGGGGTCATCGGGTCATACAGAATAATGACATATAATAAGTAAACGGGGTTATAAAGGTCACCTTGACTGCGTACGCGCAGTCATCAAGATCACATTTCTCAAGGTCACGTGAACTTTCAAGACCATTGAACACATCAGGGTCACGTTGATTTTCTACGCTGGGCTAGTAAACCAGGTTTTACATGTGTAGATTGTGTTTCGTTAAACCACAGTCATGTTAATTTAACTGACGCTTGATAAGTTTTTTATCCTTTCGATTTACAGCAAAACTCTGATGGCTAAACTTGAATGTCTGATGTGAAATCCTCCTTTCCACATTGGACAGAGTTTGTGAGTGATCTGACTTATATATAACCCATTGTACATGTTAAGGTGTTTATTTATAATGTGGATCATGTAACGGCTGTTCAGTGTTGGTTTTGTACTTTGTACGTTGTATGTGGAGTCGGCTGCCTGGCGTAATTCTTCCGTGTGACTCAAGTTTCAAGTTTTATTCGAACTTTAGGCCATTGGCCCATCAGTATAAAATACATATTATACACAAATCATGGACAATGTACAGAGAATGAAGACAATCATATTCCATTATAATACCCTTTGTTTGTTTGCCTCATAGATGAATTTTCTTAGTATACACAATTCTTTAATAGTTTGGACAATTAATAACTGATCGACTTTAAACACAGATGTTTTTTTTCCAATAATAGCTTTTGATAAAACGTGATCTGAGATTTTGGAATTTAGAACAGACTAATAAAAAATGAAATTCGTCCTCTACTTTAGAGTAGGAGTTACACTGTTTACAATATCTACGTTCTCTAGGTATATTATTATACCTTCCAACTTCTAGATTCGAGTTAAAGAAATGCGACATTTCATTGGTATACATTTTGTGAAGTAAAATTGTAATGATTCTCCAAAATCAATGATTTTTTTATACAATACTCGCTGACTCCCGTGATTTAGATAAATGGTGACTCGCAAGGTCGCTTGCTTATTTAATGGTGATTCGTTGGCTCGTTTATAGTGTTTATATCAGTGACCCATGTGATAAAGACTCAATGACTCCGATATGTGTTCTAAAACGGTGCATCACTGACTCATGTGTTATGTATTATTGACTCACTGACCGGTTGGTGAAATTGTTGAAAAGTGACTCCCCGAGTCATGGATAATTCAACGGTGACTCACTGACTCGCGTGATCAGTGATAGTGATTCAGATACATACACAGATACACGTGTAATGTATAACAACATTACTCACCGACTCGTGTGGGACGTTTTGGTGACTCACTTCCAGGTCTTTTTTGTATAATGATAAATTACTGCTCGTATGCTATGATATAATGACTCACTGACTCATGCACGATGTTATGGTGGCTCGTTGCCACGTGTGCTATGCAAAACGTAATGTATAGTCAAAACTCAATTTTGTTGTGTTGTATACTTCCAGATCTGTTGGCTGATTTAAGACGCCAGGGAATGGCTCACAGAATTCCTATACACCAGGACGACCTAAGCTTCGAAGAAAGGCAGAGTAAGATCTGGGAAGACATGGAGAAGGACATGGAGCGTCGCCGGAAGGAGTGGGAGAGCGAGATCGACAACATGCGAACGGACTTCTTCCACGTCAAGCCGGATGATAACAAACTTGAGTCAATGACCGACCGGCTCGGGATAGCGGACAGTCGGACGTCGTCGGACGCACAGACATCCATAGAGAAGGATCAGAACGGCCAGCCAGTGTATCGCGCAGTGTTTAACGTCAAAGACTACAAACCCGACGAAGTTAATGTGAAAATGGACGCCGATAAATTGATCGTGAACGCCAAACATGAGGAAAAGAAAGAAGGGAAATCCGTGTGTCGAGAGTTTAGTCGTGAAGTGAATATTCCTCGGGAAGTTGATCCAATGTCCCTTGGTTGTACCATTTCTTCTGATGGTATCCTCACGGTAGAGGCACCACTTCCCACTCCACAATACCCACCCCTCACTGACAACCGAGGTGCTGCTCCGAGGATCATTCCCACGGCAACGCCTTCTGTAGCCGCTGCGCCTCCTCCACCAGCAGCGCCCTCTGGTGGCACCAATCCCACAACTCACACGTCCACCTTTAAGACATTCATGTCACCCAAGGGAGCTGCATCACCTTCCGTTGGAACAACAAATCCAACTCACTCTTTGCAATTTACTCCACAAACATTCTCAACAAGTAACGTGGCCTCCTCTAAGTTTGATACACGAAGCAGTTCCGGTTCTCCTGCCAATACTGACGGAGAGCGCAAGTACAGAGTGGAAATTGATATTGAAGATTTTAAACCAGAAGAACTTACAATTAAAACAGTCGACCAGAAATTGATCATCAGCGCTCGTCGGGAAGAAAGGATCGGCACAAGGACCTCCACGAAAGAGCTGAACCGGGAGATCAGTCTGCCAGACACGGTCGAACCTACAGCCGTGAAGGCCTTTTTCTCGGACAGTGGCAAACTGCTCATAGAAGCGCCTTACCTAAAACCCCTCGCAGTGGGACATTATTCACAGGGGCGCGAGGGATCGCCAATGACGGGACGATAGGGCACCATATGGGACCGTAGAGTCTCGCCTATTCCCGAGACATTAGCTAACGTTGCATACGCGTTCAGGGTCACGCAATGTGGGATTGTATATCGCATTGTGTTTTCATTTTCATGAGTGCGCTGACCCAAGTTCTCAAAGCTGATACATGTAGTAACATTTTGTGTGTATATGTATTTAATAGGTTGAAGAGTTGCAGCTTTATTTATGTTAATGATAAACGTAAATCTACGACTCGCTCACGTTTAATACTCAGCTAGTGACGCCACTCAGCTAGAAACCGATATGGTGTGATGTTTCATATGGCGGACCAAGAGCGGAAGTTCTCAGTTAAACATCAGGTTTACTTCCGGTGGAAGAGACTCGTATACAGTATATGTAGGTCATGAAGGTCACGCGACGGTTATTCAATTGATAGAATATCACTGCTGTAAATTATGTCCTCATTTCGCTGGTATCATGAGGTGACATTTAAACTCGAGATTATTTAATAGTTAGTAATTTTAATGCGAACTCTGAAAAACTGCTCTTTTACTTGTGGATTATACGATGTTTCAGTTTCTTGCCTTGAGAAATAATATATATATATATTAAATTATACAACACATACCGGTAATGTTTTTGTGTTATTTCCTAAAGAAATCTCGATCTTATATAATGTTACCTATCACACAAGTGAATTCTGTTTCCTGACTTCTAGTATGTATCATTGTATACTGTGACTACCATCAAATCTCTCCTCAACATCTGGAACCGTCGGCATTTTCCGAAAACTGGTATTTTTCTGGTTTACGGAAAGTGCCGACGGTTCCCGCTTGCTCTCCTAACAAATCAGCCTTGCACTACCCGAAAATACGAAAACCAGCAAACCATCATTTTCTTTCAGTTTTTCTTTTCGCCAATCAGCCGCAATACACGCGTATGCTACCTGTTTATTTCCTCTCCAGCACACAATGTGTGGCATAGCCTTGACGAAATGATTGGGGGTGCAGATTGGAAAAAGGGTTCATAAGTGAAGGCCGGAATTGGATTGGGGTTTACAAAAGGAAAAATTTGATTTTAGATACGAAACCCAATATAATCGGACATGAACATCGGGCTACACAATTCGCAACTATCATATTTCATGATAAAATTTGCATTACATCGATATTATAACGATTACATCATCCCTAACGCTGAAACAAGAATGGGAAATATGCCAAATATTTATCCGATAATACGCTCGATGTTTTGTGTAGGCGGCGAAATAGGTTTAACACCCGCACACACAAACACACACAAACGAGATTTTCTCCCGTTGAATGATAAGCAAGGTTTTCACAAAGAAAATCATAAAATGTATGTTATCTTTCTGTTGCAATGATTCATTTCTTTAATATCTCATCGTATGATAATGTGTTTTAAGCTATGTCAAATATATACAGTTATTAGGTCATCTGAGATATCTCAGGTGACCTATTGCGATCGCCTTGTGTCCGTCGTCGTCCGTCGTGCGTCCATAAACAATTTACCTTTTCAATTTGTTCTTCAAAACCCCTTAACCAATTTCAATGAAATTTTGCAGAAACCTTCCTTGGTCAAAGGTCAACCACAAATGTGAATTATATGGTACCCAGCCATCAGGGGCCTGAGGGAGCGGGGCAAAAAGGGTCAAATTAACTGAAATTTCAAAAATCTTCTCAAGATTCAGATATGGTAGAATCAAATACTCTTAATAGATGGAAGGGTCCTATATAGGGAAATAACATTTTGGACCAACATTTGTTTAATTTCTATTGGAATTAATTCAAACTTAGTTAGCATTTTCAGCATTGGATATCGGTTTGACGGTTTGCACATATTGGCACTGACTGACCCTAAGGGGCTGGTCCAAAAGGGGTCAAATTGACTAAAATTTCAAAAATCTCCTTCTCAAGACCCATAAATGGTAGAATTAAATACTCTTTATAGATGGAAGGGTCTTAAGGTGCCTTACACAAATTGTGAATTGCATGACCCTTGGGTCTCACGTTCCCCCCTGGGGAGGGAGTAAGCTTTACTACTATAATTTATATACGGAAATAAGAAGTTGGACCAGCATTTATTAGCTCACCTGGCACGAAGTGCCAAGTGAGCTTATGCCGTGGCGCGGCGGCCGTCGTCCGTCCGTCGTCCGTCCGTCCGTCCTAGTCCGTCAACGTTTCCTTTAAACAACTTCTTCTCAAGAACGGACAGGCCTAGAGTCATGATATTTGGCTGAAAGCTTCGTTGGTAGGAGCCCTACAAAGTTTGAGAACGAAAATGACCTTGACCTGTTTTCAAGGTCACAGGGGTCAAATATGTCAAAAACTTCAAACGACTTCTTCTGAAGAACTAAAAGGTATAGAATCTTCAAATTTGGCTGATGGCTTCCTGGGATGTAGCCCAACAAAGTTTGAGAATGAAAATTAGTTTGACCTGTTTTAAAGGTCACAGGGGTCAAATATGTCAAAAACTTCAAACGACTTCTTCTGAAGAACTGAAAGGTATAGACTCTTCATATTTGGCTGATGGCTTCCTGGGATAGAGCCCAACAATGTTTGAGAATGAAAATTACCTTGACCCACTTTCAAGGTCACAGGGGTCAATATGTCAAACACTTCAAACGACTTCTTCTGAAGAACTGAAAGGAATAGAATCTTCATATTTGGCTGATGGCTTCATGGGATAGAGCCCAACAAAGTCTGAGAATAAAAATTACCTTGACCCACTTTCAAGGTCACAGGGGTCAATATGTCAAACACTTCAAACGACTTCTTCTGAAGAACTGAAAGGAATAGAATCTTCATATTTGGCTGATGGCTTCCTGGGATAGAGCCCAACAAAGTCTGAGAATAAAAATTACCTTGACCCACTTTCAAGGTCACAGGGGTCAAATGTATCAAACACTTCAAACGACTTCTTCTGAAGAACTAAAATGTATAGAATCTTCATACTTGGCTGTTGGCTTCCTGGGATGGAGCCCAAAAAAGTTTGAAACTGAAAATTAGTTTGACCTACTTTCAAGGTCACTGGGGTTAAATATGTCAAATGCTTTCAACGACTTCTCCTGAAGAACTGAAAGGTATAGAATCTTCATATTTGGCTGATGGCTTCCTGGGATAGAGCCCAACAAAGTTTGAGAATGAAAATGACCTTGACCCACTTTCAAGGTCACAGGGGTCAAATGTGTCAAACACTTCAAACGACTTCTTCTGAAGAACTGAAAGGTATAGAATCTTCATATTTGGCTGATGGCTTCCTGGGATAGAGCCCAACAAAGTTTGAGAATGAAAATGACCTTGACCCACTTTCAAGGTCACAGGGGTCAAATGTGTCAAACACTTCAAACGACTTCTTCTGAAGAACTGAAACGTATAGAATCTTCATACTTGGCTGGTGGCTTCCTGTGATGGAGCCCAAAAAAGTTTGAAACTGAAAATTAGTTTGACCTACTTTCAAGGTCACAGGGGTTAAATATGTCAAATGCTTCCAACGACTTCTCCTGAAGAACTGAAAGGTATAGAATCTTCATATATGGCTGGGGGCTTCCTGGGATAGAGCCCAACAAAGATTGAGAATGAAAACTAGTTTGACTTACTTTCAAGGTCACAGGGGGCATATATGTCAAAAGCTTCAAATGACTTCTTCTGAAGAACTGAAAGGTATAGAATCTTTATTTTTGATTGATGGCTTCCTTGGATAGAGCCCGACAAAGTTTGAGAATGAAAATGACATTGACCTTCTTTTAAGGTCACAGGAGTCAAATGTGTCAGACACATCAAACGACTTCTTCTGAAGAACTGAAAGGTATAGAATCTCTCTATTTGGCTTGTAGCTTCCTAGGAAAGAGCCGAACAAAGTTTGAGAATGAAAATGACCTTGACCTTCTTTTAAGGTCACAGGAGTCAAATATATCAGACACTTCAAACGACTTCTTCTGAAGAACTGGAAGTTATAAAATCTTAATATTTGGCAGGTGGCTTCCTGGGAAAGAGCCAAACAAAGTTTGCAAATGAAAATGACCTTGACCTACTTTCAAGGTCACAGCGTTCAAATATGTCAAACAGTTCAAACAGCTTCCTCTTAAGAATTAAAAGGCATAAAATTTAATATTTGGCTGGTGACTTCCTGGGATAGAGCTCACCAAAGTTTGCGAATGAAAATGACCTCAACCTACTCTAGAGGTCACAGAGGTCAACAACATTTTAATGGATTTGTTTTTGAGAACTAAAAGGAATGGATTCATAAGATTTGGCTGGTAGCTTTTTGGAATAGAGCTTACCAATTTGAGAAGGAAAATGACATTGACCTTATGTCAAGCAACTTCTAAAGAAGAATAAAAAAGCATAGGATCTTATAATAATATTTTGCTGGTAGTTTCAACAGATGGAGCCAACAAAGTTTGCGAGGGAAATATTTTTAGTGCAATATAATATTTAATGAGAATATTTTGCTATGACTGCTTAAATATTCAGGTGAGCGATACAGGCCCTCTTGGGCCTCTTGTTTAATTTCCATTGGAATTAATTCAAACTTGGTTAGCATTATCAGTATTAGATAGCAGTTTGATGATATGCACTAACCAGCCCTGACTGACCCACAGGGGCTGATGGGTGGGACCAAAAAGGGTCGAATTGACTAAAATTTCAAAAATCTTCTTCTTAAGACCCAGATATTGTAAAATCGAATACTCTTCATAGATGGAAGGGTCTTAAGTTGCTTTAATAAAATTGTGAATTTCATGACCATGAGGTCTCACGTTTCCCCCTGGGGAGGGGATCAACTTAACTATAGTTTATATAGGGAAATCACATTTTGAACCAACATTTGTTTCATTCCTATTGGAATTAATTCAAACTTAGTTAGCATTATCAGTATTTGGTAGCAGTTTGACGGTTTGCACATATTGGCCCTGACTGACCCTCAGGGGCTGAGGGGCGGAGCTAAAAGGGGTCAAATTGACTAATATTTCAAAAATCTTCTTCTCAAGACCCACATATAGTAGAATCAAATAAATTTCATAGATGGAAGGGTATTCAGGTGCTTTACCAAAATTGTGAATTTCATGACCTTGGGGTCTTACGTTTCCCCCTAGGGAGGGGATAAACTTTACCATAGTTTATATTTTGTTGTTTTTTACCATTTAGTTGTATGTAATTTATGTTCAGTGTAAAAAGATGCAATGTTTCCAAATGGCAAATTACAATACACATAAACTCTTTATTGTTGAATTAATATATTAGATATGTGATAGGACAGCTGTTTTTATTTTTAGCCAGTAACCTTACTCAAATAAACCCCTCAAAAATCCAACAGCTCGTTCTACTGTAATAGGAAAGAAAGAAGTGGAAAAACGAGGTGCCCCAGCTGGCATCGAACCCACGACCCCAGGTTCCGGAGGCCAACGGTCTACAACTGAGCTAAAGGGACATGTCCTGTCAGCTGACTGACATAATAACTATTAGTACATAGTAGATATACTACCCAAATGTTGCATTACATGTAGTTCAAGTTACCTTTGTTACCAAAAATGATTTCTTTTTTCTTTGGCAACATCGATACCATCAGTTTTTACATAACCCAGGTGACCGTTAAGGCCAATGGAC